CAAGCAATGGAAATATTTACCTTATTTGACAAAACCCAGGTAATCATGACATTTCAATATTAAAAACAATATGACCTACTGCTGTCATAATTACCTGAGATTTGTCAAATAATGTAAATATTTACACCGATTGCATCGAAGAATAAGTTGATCCAAGAGACGTTTCTCAGTGGAACTGACAGCTAGAAATCTAGAGTGTGTGAGTGATCTGGTGTTAATGGTGCTGAATGTAAAGATAAACAAAGCAGAAATCCATATGAGAATAAACTGCCAGTTCTACTCTGATCTGTCAAAAGTTCTTGGTAAACAAAAAAGTCAGCTAATTGCAACTATCTCGTGGACAGCCTTATGCCGCTAAACGGAGCAATGCTGCATAAACACATACCGGCGACTCTGCATCCACTTTCGGACCAGCTCTTCACAAGGTAAGTCGCGCATTTTGTTTTGAAGGAACAGTACAACAAGCAATCGAATCCGAACCAATGTGACGATCCAGAGGCTGGACAATAGACTGATGCAAAATTTGACTTTTTTGCTCCACAGTGCTTAAATGCTTTCAAATCGGGTCGTGATTAGCCTCCAAAAGTTACAACTCATTTGGTTAGAAACAGACTTCGCACAAACCATTTGAAGTTTACATGTAAATTCAGTGCTAACATTTGAAAACGGCGCAAAAGCCATTTGTAAACAAATGGTTTGTGGGCCCTTTACTCGCTACCCGAAGAACGCCCACGCAAACCAACAGCATCGTCAGGAAGGGGAAAATTTCCCCTACCCGATGTTGCTGTTGTGTCGCGTGGGTGTACTTCAAGTAGTGAGTAAAGGGCCCACAAACCATTTGTTTACAAATGGCTTTTGTGCCGTTTTCAAATGTTAGCACTGAATTACTATGGGAAATCTCAACTTTTTGTTCATTGCCTTCTAGTCTTTTTCCATATTGAGCTGCAAAACAGTTCGATAGCCATTCTTATAGAAAATTTCCTCAGCTACAACTTTGCTGAAGATCATTTCTATGTAAAACGAGACAAGAAAAAGTTATTAATTATTTAAGAGATTGGTAAACTTATGACATGATCAAGCAGCTGCTCTGTAGGCAACACTGTATTTTGCAGTGTGACATAGTAGCCATAATTTTTGTGGTCTATTCAACGCCCCAGAAACACCAATGTTGCCTGCTGAGCAGTTGATTGAGAATGATCATAAGACATCAGTGCATTGAACCATTAATAACTTTCGATCCTTGCATTTAATCAAAAAGTGGTCTTGAGCAAAGTTGTAGCTGGGAAAATTTCCTACAAGTAAAGTTGAAAGCTTTTGAAGCAGACCGATATGGTGAATTATAAGATAGACAGGAACAAAAATCTTGGTTTTACCATAGTAATTCCCATACAAACTTCAAATGGTTTGTGCCATCTCAGTTTCTCACCAAATGGGTTCAAATTTTGAGAGATTAGTCAGGATCCGATTTGGAATCGTTTAAGTATTGTGGAGCGAAAATTTCAAATTTTGCATCACTCTACTGGACAAGTTGATATCGGATATCGAAACGCATCTGAAGTCTACAGCCGCTATGACAAACTGCTGCTTTGAAATCCCTGGAGCTTTACCGGGGATCGAAATCGGCTGCGAGGATCAACGATGGCTACCTGCAGAGAATCGCAACAACATGAGTGCACGGTTTATGGGGTGTTTACATCTGTGTGGATTTACTCGCGCTAATGTACTCGCCAACTAGCACGAATTTCAGTTGCTCCTGAAATTTCATGCTGGTAGACGCTGATGCCTTGTTTACATTATGCTAGTGAGCTTTTTTGCTAGCAGCTAGCTCATTAGCGCTAGTAAAATAGTATAAGTGTAAATACCCCATTATGGTGCCCAACTGGATGTGAAGAAACGGAAGGAAGCGACTATAGTTCTCTCCATGCGGGTTCGTATTGGTGCGATTTACGTGTGCTAGTGAGATGAAATTTTTTGTTAGCTGTGAGAATTTTTTGTTTGCTGTAAGAACTGTCATTCTAAAGTAAAAATAAACAACAGAACGAAAATAAACCCTATGCTTGCACGGTAACAGTCAAATACCCTTTTATGAGTAAAAGTCAACCCATTTTTAATAAAAGTGGCTTTACTCATTAATGAGTAAATTATTTTAACAACAACGAGTTTCTGCTATCAGTAGCTAACAGTTACTACTTAATTGGTATAATAAGTTACTCATTAATTAGTAGTGCCACTTTTATTGACAATGGGTTCACTTTTACTCACAAATGGATGTTTGATTCTTACCGTGCACATGACAGTATACGCTAGTGTGTGTAAATAATATTATTAGTGTAGTGTTCGTGAGATCCTGCTTGGAGAACTCAATATTGCTCGGCGAATTTGAAGACGGTTGCATTGCACTGAAGAATGCCACGTAAGCGTTCCGCTACTAAAGACTGGCTTCTTCAGTGGTTTCACTGAGGAGCAGGTGGATGCACTCATAAAGTGCTCTGCAAAAAATGATTCCTGCTCGCAATTGATTTCGCCGATGTTGCCTTTTACCACCACCTAGTCTGCATCCAGAATCTAGAGATGGGCGAACACTCACGAATCGCTTATTTCTAGACCAACAATAAGGCTGTCCACGAGACAGTTGCGATCAGCTGACTTTTTTGTTTACCAAGAACTTTTGACAGATCACAGTAGAACTGACACTTCACTCTCATATGAATTTATTCTTTGTTTATGTTTACATTCAGCACCATTAACACCAGATCACTCACACACTCTTGATTTGTAGCTCCACTGCGAAACGTCTCTTGGATCACCTTATTGAATTAGGCGGAACAACCAAACGTAAACAATGGCTTTAAACGCAAATTTCTCAACATTCAAAATACACCCACGCAAATATTAACAAAGCCATTCGATAAAAGAAGTGTCCGCTTTCAGAAGCTGGTGTTAGATTGCGTGGATGTGTTTTGACTATCGATAATTTGCATTTAAATCTATTGTTTACGTTTGCTTGTTCCGCCTATTTCAATTGTTGGTCTAGATTTAATCCGGTTCGAACAAAAGAGCGAACGAACCACGGTTCTACAAAATTGAACCGCGGCTCTCAAACGAACCACAGCTCAAAATTGAACGGCGGCTCACTTTGAGTATGACGCACGAACCACGATTCAAGAACCAAGTCGTTTGATCGGCGCACACTTCTGCACCATCCATCAATTCCAAAGTTGCAGTTCTCGTAACTGATAATGCGTCAAATATGAAATCAACCGCCACACTTCTCGATGTACCTCATTTGGGGTGTTTTGCACATTCGCTCAACCTTGTCGTCCAAACTGCCATTTTCACATCTATGAAAGCTGTTGTTGACAAAAGCAAAGCAATCGTGCAATACTTCAAACAAAGTAGCCATGCTCTTAGGCTGTGTTCCATTTGGTGTATTTTCACTTAAATTTGACACTTCGAAAATAAATTAAGATGTTCGAAAATCCCTCTGTTGTTGATCTTCTTATTTTCGAGAAGGTGTTTGTCAAAATTGATTCCTGGTCTGCCAGAAATAAGTCTGGTACAATAGCAGGTTCATTTGAAAATTTTCTATCTGTCAAATTTAAGTGAAAATTCACCAAATGGACCACAGCTTTAGCAAGCTCCATGAAAGGCAGCAGAAACTAAACAACGTTTCAACGGTTTCAACTCGTTGGAATACCACTTACGATATGTTGGATCGAATACTACTAAATAGGGAGGCTTTCGTGTCTGCTTTGGCACTTTTGGAGTCTAATTTGTCCTTGGAATTCCACGATTGAATAGCGATCGAACATTCAGTTAACATTCTCAAAGCATTCTACGATGTAGCGGTTGAAATATCCGGGGAGAAAACTGTATCGTTGTCTAAAACTGATGTGCTTTCGCGATTAATGACCCGACATGTTCGACAGTATCTGGAGATCATTGAAAAGCTCTGTAATCAACTGACTGCGGGACTGGAGAAGCGTTTTCCGGTCTAGAGTCAAACGAGCTGGTAGCGCAATCGATACTACTAGCATAGAGGTAACTCTAAGACTAGAAGGTCCCGATGAAACGTGCTCAACTTTTTGGCTCAGCTCTGGTACGCTCTTCGGTCCTAGGCTAATCGATTCACCCCTCGAAACATAGGAAAATCCACTAACCCCTCATTTTATCTGTCAAACTTTCATAGCGAATCAAAACAAACATTGTGTAGTACTAGAATTTCGACTAGAATGGGGTACGTTAATCGTTTGCTTGGGACCAATAGGCTAGTCAAGTAGTGAGCCAATTTAAAATCGTTAGTTTCGTATTGATTGTTGCTACTAGATCCTCGCTTTAAAAAGCAGTGATAGACGCAGCAGACTTACATCGGGAACCATGGAGAAAATTATGTTCATAAATCAAAACTTGCATTGAAAAACTATGTAATAGACATGTATTAGAGAAATCACATCAATAAATACACATGTGTATTATTCTTTTCATTAAATACTGACTAAAACTGTATCTTAAATCTCTTCCTTTATTACGCGATCCCAATTTACCATTTATTTAAAAAGAGCCGGTGAGCCATTCAAATGAGCGGGTGCCATACAGTGCCAATGAGTGTGCCATAGTGTGATCTACTGTATTTTTGGCACACTGTGCCAACCCCTTGATTGCCAGCTTCAAAAATCGGAATGAATCTGAAGATTTTTAACAAAAAAATCTGTAATCTGTAATACAGATTTCTGTATCGAAAATTGTCTAAAAATCTGCACCATGCCAGAAAAATCTGTAGATGTGGCATCACTGGAAATGACTCGCTGCTAAACACCAGATTGTTCCAGAACACTAAACATTGAATTTCCAACACAAAATCAAACCAATTTCAGGATCCTAGACATTCTAGGGATTACTTATTTACTGAATCCATACACATTGAAATGTTAGTTGCCAATACAAAACTACGAAGCTTGACTAATTATCCTTCTCTTCCTTCTCTTTCTCCCTCTCCGCAGTGCTATCCCACCAAGACGAACCCACAACAACAACAACAACAACAGCAGCAGCACCCCCACCACCACCAGATCACAACACCAACCTCGTACCGGACCGAGTACGAACTGTCCGGATCGTACGTATCGCTCGAGTGTCCATCGCCACCCGGTCCGCCGGCATGTCTGACCGACAACAACCGGCGGGACCCGCAGGCCCGCCTGGCCCGATGCCTCCGGAATCTCTACACCGAGCTAGCCCTCAAGGAGCCGGTCCTGCCGACGTGGGTCCAACCGGTCGCGCCGGGGCTCCTCTGTCCAGCCCGGCTGGAGCCAGAACTAAGACTGCACATCCATTCGCACGGTCTGAACGAGTGCATCTCGGTCGATCAGATCCTGGCCGCCGTTCAGACCAAGGATGGACCCTTCCTGGAAGCGCCCCGGCGGGTACTGATCGAGTGCCCTCCGTGGGTTACGCGTAGCGCACTGGCCCTCCGGATACTGCACGGCTGGAGCCGGGAACCGCCATGGCCTCCGCGAGGTCAACCCGTAGCGTTAGCACTTTTTATACCGTTAAACGAAATCAAGGGATCGTTAGCCAGTTATGTAGCGAAAGAACTATTACCTCGGGGTACGCAAAATCCGTTTGCATCCGGATTTGGGGGTTTCAATGCCGCGTGGAACTCGCTGGAGTCGTTGAAGAGCAAATTGCTGGTCGTACTGGACGGCTACGATGTGCAGAGTAAATCCAGGAAGAACAAATCCGTCCAGAAGGACGTGACGGATTTGCTAGAGGGAAGACTGTTCCCCGAGGCTAGGGTCATACTGATCAGCGTGACGTCGTCCTGCGCAGAGCTGTTGCCATTGATGCAGCGTCACGTCACCTTCGAAGGAATCACCTGGGGTCGATCGGTTTCCTTGCTAGGCGGCGGTCAATGGGGTGCTCCTACGAGACTAATCGATTGTGTTCAAGACTGTAGACATCTACGGAACATAGCGAGGACTTCGTTGGGCTGTCTAGCCATCTCGGCGATCTACGCGGCCAATGCAGGCGATCTACCTACGGACGAAATTGACGTTATCGCTTCCGTATTCAACTGCGTAGCTACCAACTCTTCGCACACGCAAGTCACCGAGCTCGGCAGGTTGGCTCTTTTCTGCCTCAAGACCAAGCGATCGACGGTCAGTTCAGCGGAGCTTAAAATGTACTGTTCGTCTCCGGAAACCAACATCATCGGATGCTTGGACAAGGCACCGGTCTTCGGTCGAACAGCGCGGAGAAAATCCGAATTCAATTATACCACCATTTGTCCAGGGATTGCTGAATTCCTTGCGGCCAACTACATCGTATCGCTAGCTAGTCGACCGGGCCTGCTCGCCGCTGAAGTTGCCGGTCTAGCCATCGGCGACGAAGTCGAACCGGAAATCCTCAAAGTGCTAACCTATGCCATGTCTCTCCTCGGCTCGCGAGCTCACCTATTGCTCTCCAAACTTACTCCGCTCTGGTTAAGCCCACAAACCATATTCTCCCTAGCCGTGGCCGGCGGTGAAACCGAGTCCAACCTCACTGCCCTTTGCGAAATCCTTGGAATATCCAAGTCCCCTCCGATACCTCCACTAGAGGCGAAACCCATCTGGGTGCAAATCAAATCCACAGCCTCTGAACTGCAAGGTTGGGGTCTGGCACTCAAGAGTCCAACCTGCACGCTCAAAAACCTGGAACTAGTCTACCAGATCGAGAAGAACATGCTCCTCGAGTCACGGAACGTCATGGACATCTTCCTCGATGCGCTGTCCAAGAACGAAAGTGTCACAACACTTCGAATAACTTCGCTGATCGAAAACGAAGTTCGAGACTCGGACATCAACTACCTAGCGACATGCATATCCAAAACCGTACTGAAACCAAGACTGGAGAGCTTCGAAGTAATTCTGACACTGCTGGAAGAAGATCCTCCCATACTGAAGCTGCAGTCCGTAGTGACGGGTCTTTGCAGAGCGATCCCTCGACAACCAAAACTCAGTAACTTGATCCTCGATCTAGGTCTTTGCACTTCGCAACTGGTTCAAATCTGCTCAATGCTCGAGAAATGCCCTCACGTCACAAGACTGTCCTTCCCGCATCTCCGTTGCGAACGTGGAGCCGTAGGCGCTCTGGCCAGTCTCCTGAATGCACGGCCTCTGTCCTATCTAGCACTAGCCTCCAGTTGGGGAGCTCGCGACGATCCACCGTCCTCTAGTGGCGTCAGCATGGGTTCCGGTTCCGGTAGCAGCTCCGGAAACTCCGGCCTTATCAAACAATCTTCTCTAACCGGAGCGCCATCGCCTCGATCCTATCCAACCGGAATCTTCTCATCACTGCCCCGAGGAGTACTGAACTCCACCTCAAACATGGGCCGCTCAGCCACACTACCACGTCAACCCATGGAAGGACCACCGGATAAACGAAGCACGGACTCGGTCATCTCCCGAACTTGGTATCCTACTCCAGCTTGCGACGGCGGTCCTCACAACTCCGGTACACTTCACGAACTGCTCCTGGCGGCACGGGACTCCTACTCCCGACTCCATGGGCTGGACCTCAGCAAAGCTCAACTTTCGCTCGAGGACTCCATGTGCCTGGGGGAAACGGTTCGTGTCTCCACTAACCTCCATTCGATCAAACTGGAAGGCGCCTCTCGCCTCAGCGAAATCCTTCCCACGGTGCTGGGTGCCAGCGAGTCACCCAGTCTGCAGATGCTCAGCCTTGGATCGCCCCGAATCGCCCTGGAGGATGCCGCCGTCGGAATGTCAGCACGTGCCTTGGGTAGTTGCATCACGCTACGACTGCTTAGCTTAGATGGCTGGAGTTTCAGGATAGAGAACGTCAGTACGCTTGCATCGGTACGGGGCTTCCTGTCGCTGACCTCGATCCGCGAACTCGGCCTCAACAACTGTCGGCTCAATATATCGATGTTTAAGAGCGACGTCCAGATGCCGAGCAGTGCGTACGAGTGCCGCTCGGTCGTGAACCTCAAGATGGCGGGGGCTCAGGTAATTGCTATGGCATAGTCTGATTGTGAGGAGTTTGCAATGGTTTTGTTTTTCGCAGATTATCTTCTCCGATCACGTCTCGCTGAAGGGACCCCACATGTTACCCTATCTGACCGGTTTCGTGAATCTACGGGAGCTGGATCTGTCGGGGCCTGCGCGCACCGGTCTCGGCAGCAACACGTCCAACCCGTCGATTCTGTCCGATAAGGATATTATCGGTTTCTTCTCCACGCTCAACGCTCACTTTAGGTCTGTAAAAATACCTTTTCTTCAATCGCTAAGATCCCATTTGAACATGATTTACCCACAGTTCGCTCAACACCCTGAAAATCTGCAACTGGATCGTGCACCTGGACGATGTCAATCGGACGCTGAAGGCCGTTTCCAAACTGTTCAAATCGAGCCCGATGAGCCACGTCAAGGTCGACGGGATCATCGTGCTGGACCGGCCGAAGAAGCAACGGATCGAGTCGCAGTTTATGCATGCCCTGCTCGCTTCGCTACCGCAGCTGCGGTGGCTGGGCCTTACCATGGCCGGCATGAACGAGGAACAGATTGCGGCGCTCGGGACGTACTGCGCCGACATCCGGGGAATGGAGATCGACATCAGGTGAGTGGGCGGTGATATTGGGCGTTTATGAGGGATCCGTTGAACAGCACTCAAGGCCCGAACGGAATGATAGCGGAAGCGGAACGGCAGCGGTAGCGGAAAAGCGCGATAGGAAACTAGTTTAAACTAAATTGACTTCGGTTAGACATCTTGGCGACATTTGTGACAACAGTCAAACCTTGCCGCTGCGGTTACGCTTCCGTCTACATTGCGTGTGGGGCTTCTCTGCAAATATCCGTCCACGAAGCTACCATTGCTTGAGCAGTTCAATCGATCATTCACATTTGAGCTAAAACTCGACCATTTTGAATCACGAAAAAAATCATAACTCGAAAACGACACTTCCAATCGAAATGACGTCTGAGGCAAAGTTGTAGTTTCAGGGAAAATTTCATGTAATTTTGAGAAAAATTCAAACATAAATTTAAAGCAATACCCGCTGCAATATGATATGAATATTCAAAAGTTTAATAAATGGTTCTCTGTGCAAAATATTACAAAACATTATTTGAACAAAAAGTTCAAAGATAGTCCAAAAGTTGTTGTTCTACGATTTTTGTTCATTTTCATGTGTTCAACTAGCAATTCACTTCTCTGTTCACATTTAAATTCAAAATGTAGGCTTCCGAGGGCTGTCGATTGCTATCGATGCCGGTCACAAGTCTTTCAGCTACTACGCAAATGAAGTATACTACGAACCGGAGTGCAAGAACAATTTGGATGGATTGGATCATGCAGTGGCGGCGGTTGGATACGGAAAACTTAAAGGAGAAGATTACTGGCTAATCAAGAACTTCTGGTTCAACTACTGGGGCAACGATGGACATGCTTTGATGGCGGTGAAGGGTAACAACTGTGGCCTTACCCCCGATGCGACGTATGTAAATTTGAAGTGAGGTTTCGGTTTAAGTTTGAATTAAGTAAAAGAGTATTTTTTGAAAAATCGCGGCTTGCTCTATGCCCAGCACTGCCGGCACAATCAGCACACCAGCGGTGCACTTGCGGCACACTGAGAAAAATGTTGTCCCAAGATTGATGTGCGGAGTGAACTACCCCTTGCGGCAACCAGATTTTTTGCGTTAGCATCGGATGACTTTCATTCAGAATTGAAAAATTTCATGTCGATAACGGAGCTTCTGGTTGACAAAAACAATATAGAAGCTGAAAAATGTTCAAACAAGTGCTTGGTATAACTTATAAATAACACAATGTACTAAATAAGGCGAAGAAATGTTGTCAGTAATTGCATTACTTGTAGTTCACTGGCTGTGGGAACAATAATGTTTATTTACTTTGCTCTTTTGGTACCCAGCATGACAGTTCGATCGGTACTTCTGGCTTCACTCTTGGTGGGACTCTTATTATAACATTGACTCTGAGATTTATAAAAAAATCGAATACGCCATGATTTTTTTTGCAAATTTGAGCTAAAATGTGAACGAGCTCGATTTTTTTTTCTATCTGGCCTGGAAATACACACAAGACAGTCGATAAGCTCCCTCCGTTACTCGCGCTGTTGTAGTTTTTTTTTTTAGTACAACACACGGTCAATGTGATCGGCCCAAATTTGAGTTCAGTTTAGTCATAAATCGCAAGAAGTGCAGGAACTCAGCAATGAGTAAATTTGAATCACGTGTTTCCAGGTTTTTCCAGGAGAACATTCCCGAATATGAGAAAAGTAAAGATTGGATTCTCTCAGTCTATTGGTACCACTTCTAGACTGAGTAAAATGTTCTTCAAACACCATGCAAATTTACTCATCGCTGAGTTCCTGTACTTTTTGCGATTATGAATAAACTAAACTCAATTTTGGATTGATCTCATTACCCGTGCACATATGAGTTTTCCATTGCCATTTTGTTGCTGAGCTACCCATCGATCTGAACAAACGGGTATTCTTCAAAAAGCTTGTTTTGAACTACACAAGCTAAACTTTGATTACCGTAAACCCCAAAAAATGCGGATAATAGCGAAAATGCAAATGGAAACCGCGTAAACGGTGTGGGATTTGACTAAATTGGTTACACCATGGAATATCTCGAGATCTTGACTAGATAGAAAGTTACTGACTTGAGCAACGTTGTTCAGAAAATCATAACCTTTTCGGTGGATAGTAGTTCAGAATTTCTCACTGCGTAGCGCTAGTATACATGTGAAATTCTCGCTTGTGGTATATCTCGAAATCCTGGCCAGATAGAAAATTACTGTCATCGGCAAAGTTGTTCAGTAGGTCAAGGCCTTCTGGCTGGTGAGACTACGGAGGTATTGCAATCGATGAGGAGTGTGCCAATGTACATTTATATATGAAAGTGTGCTCATTGTCACTTCACACTCCTTCTCAATGAGATACAACTTCATTCACTGTTCATCAGTCCGAGCATTTGACAAAAACGCTCGTGCTACTGCGGACCATATGGTTTAATAAGTTGCACCTGTTTCTCTCCGAAATTGCTGAGCAACTGCCTCAGCCAGATGACCTCTTGGCAGGTTTCGCTAAGAGCGACGAACTCAACCTCCATAGACGACAACGTTACACAGGACTGACGGCGACTCGCCCATGAGATGGCTCGTCCTCCTGGGTCTCCCGCCTAATCGACATCCGAATACCCAATCAGCGGTTGATCTGCTTCACCTCCCAATGGCAAACGCAAGTCTTTCGTCGATTTTAGGTATCGGAGCATACGTTTCGTAGCAGTTCAATCGCCTTGCCTTGGAACATTGAACTGTCATCCCAGTATTGCCGTACATGCTTCGATAATTGGTAGGATCATCGAAGACTTCTTCCGTACCAACAGTTTTAAAGTACTTTGGATCCATTGGAGACTTCGACGTTTTCGCCTGATCCATTGCCTGATCCAGGAGCTTGTTGATGCAATTGCGTAGACGAATCTTGAAAGATCGCAATTCACCCAACGACGTCCATTCTGTAATCCTTCACTGATCTTCATCTCTGCCCTCCGTTGCCGCGATGAGGAAATCAGCGACATATAACAGTAGGAATTATTAGTATTCCCCACATCCTCTAACAAACATACATGGATCTGCAGCCGATGCTGTAAATCCTAGCTTCGTTAACATCTGCTTCAGCTTTCGATTCTAGTCGCGTGCTGACTTACGTAGTCCGTAAATACTACGCTTTAGTCTGTAGGCTCCTCCTTTCCGGGTACTTCGAAAGCGGGTGTAGTACGTCAAGTATGTCGTATATAGGCTGTAGGCTGTCTTGACGTCGAAGTGGTATACTGGCATATTCCGGTTAGCAACCACTACGAGAAACGTTCGTAGCATTGCACCACTCGTGCCTTGTATTTGACCACCTCGTCCTTTTCGTTTTGCTTGATCTTCAGTACCCATTTCGATCCGACAACTTTCCGTTCACGGGGTAACTCCATGAATTCCCACGTCCCGTTGCTCCCATGAAACTCAAGCTCATCATCCATGGCTTTGTGCCATTTTGGTACCTTCATGGCTTCAATGTAGTTGTTTGGTTCCTCGTAAGCACCGGCAGCAAATCCGACGACTTTTGGGATCTCCGATTTTTAAGCGGCAACATCATTAGTGCCAAAATTTTAAAGGTTGTCCAAAGAATTTCAATGAAGTTTAGTAAACTAAAGAAAAACATCGAAAACTTCATAGAAGATCGTGGAAATTCACGGAAATGCAGAGAACTTCAAGGAAGCTTAGATATCTTTTGGGCAGTTTTATTAATTTCAGGTAAAATTCCAAGAACATGCTCAGGAGAGTTATGAGAACTTCAGGGAAGATCCATTAATATCCCGAATGATTAGAGATCTTTAGGGAAATACCATTAGCTTCTCAAAAATTGTAGGAACTTTAGTGAAGTCCTGAGGACTGAAAGGAAATGCCAAGAATTTTAGCAAAGTTTCATAAACAAATTTTTGGAACATTCTGGGCAAATTCAGAGAAGCTTCATGAACTTCAAGGCGGTTCTATAACCTTCAGAAAAACTGCAGGAGCTTTGAAGAAGTTTTCATTCGCTTCAGGGATATCCAGATAATTTTCGGGGAGTCATGAGAACTTCAGAGAAGACGAGAGAACTTGAGGAAAATTGTTGAATCTTAAAATAATTTCCAAGTAGTTCAGAGAACCTAAGTCTAGATATCATATGGGATTTTCAGAGATTTTAAGCTGATTCCCTGTAGCGTCCTTTCTCGTGTTACACTTCGCAATTTCACATGTAAAAATAATAAGGTTTCTGTGAATGCACGTAGCTGAAACTACTACTTGTTGTTTGCTGCGGAGAAGCAAGCAATGTCTGAAATTTGCAGATGTATAAACGTCGTAGATTCTGAGTTGTGTGCTCTTGAAATTGCGAGGTGTAAAGGAAAAATGGACTCTACAAGGAAACACCTTAAGGGTGGTTCCAATGATTTCAGGGACTTCATGAAATACCACATCAGCAAGGGTAAGCTGTAATAACTTCAAGAGAATTCCATTAATTTCTGGAAAATTCCGACTACTTTTAACAAGTTTCGGGAATTTTAGAGAGAACTCCAGAGAACTTATGAAAACATCAGTAATATTTTGGAAACATTCTCAGAAGTTCAAAGAACTTCAGGGAAGTTTAAAGGTTTTCAGGACAGTTCCATTCTTTTCAGGACCGTCTGAAGAAGAATTGAGATAACTTCAGTAAGCTCTGAGGACAGATCAGAGAACCTAAGTGCAGTTCAATTAATTTCAAGGATATTGCTGGAACTTTGAAGTTGTGTTCCAGAATTTTAAAAACTTCCATAAAGTTCCGAGGGCTTCTGGAAAATTTCGGTAAATGAACTTCAGGATGATTTGAGAACATTTTAAGGGAAGCTTTATGATTTCCATGGCACTTTCGAGAAGTTTCAATAAATTGCAGGAACTTTTAAGATGTTCCTAAATCTTCACGAAAGTTTAAAGAACTTCAAAATATATTATAGATTTTATATTATTTTCATTATATTCAGGGAACGGAAGAACTTCAGAGCAGTCCCATTAACTTCAGAAAAAAA